TCAAACAGCTTCAGGCTGATAGATTCCCAATGCAAGAGGTAGAGAGAATCCTAAGGAACCTCCTAAGAATGGAGACCTGACCCCACTTACTTATCAATACAGACCAGGGCCAACACATAGGAAAGCTTTGAGATAAGTACTGAACCATTATATCACCTATCAGCATTTCTCTTTATTAATTCCACATGACCTTAGCATTATGAACAATGAAATCCTTGAATAAAAAGATGTTGCATATTTGCTTTAGGGAATCAGCAAAAGTAGGGAGATGGTAAGCTCTGCTCCTGAGACTCTACTTCCAGAATGAGATTCCATAATCTAGTTTCACCAAATCACCTGGCTGGCCAATGAAAGGCATCATAATCTGAGTGAGGGGCTTGGAATATGACCTTTTTGTCAGTGCCTCAAGCAAATCTTAGGCAAACTAAAACTTTAAAACTATTCCTTTAATTTTGTGGGCAAGGAACGCAATTGGGCAGAAAGGAGGCAACAGTGAAAAAATAGAATCTTGTGATGATTAATTTTATGTGTCAACTTGGCTGAGCCATGGTGCCTAGATACTTGGTCAAACAACATTCTGGATGTTTCTCTGAGGGTGTTTTTGGATGAGACTTACATTTAAATCGGTGGACTTTGAGGGAAGCAGTTTACCCCCATAGAGAGGGTGGGCCTCATCCAATCAGTTGAAGGCCTGACTAGAATGAGAAGCTGACCTCCCCTGAGCAAGACAGAACTCTGCAGCAGACGGCCTGCAGACTTCATTGCCAACATCAGCTCTTCCTGGTTCACCAGCAGACCCCTTTGCACCAGAGCTGCATCTCTTTCCTGAGTCTCCAACTCACTGTCCTCCCAGTCAGATTTTGGATTCACCAAGACTCCACAATGAGTAGAGTTACAGTGAGCTGATTCCTTAAAATAAATCTCCTTAATTCATATATAGAAGATAGGATAGGATAGGAGATATATATATATATATATTCTGTTCCTCTGAGAATCCTAATATACAACCCTTGCACTTGAGAGATGGGGTCCATGGAACCTAAGTGGATCTAAAAAGGCTTAAGGCCCATGCCAGTGAAGAGCCCTGACACTTACCTTTAATATATTTAGGGAATTACCAAATAGATAGCAGCCAAACCTGGTGACAGAGTTCAAAGAGAAGTAGTGACCACAGTCAATTTTTTTAATAAGAAGAAAAGATCAGAATCAACCCTTGTAACAAAAGCAGTTTTCAAAAACAGAGAGCTCCTTACCGTGTTACAGTAAACATATAAAAAGACTGGATGGCTCAGGAGGTTTAGCCTCCAACTCTTGATTTTAGCTCAGGTCAAGATCTCAGGGTCATGGGATCGAGCCCCACATCAAACTCCACGCTCAGTAGGGAGTCTGCTTCTCTCCCTCTCTCTCTCTGTCTCCTTCTGCCCTCCCCCACTTGCACATGTTCTGTCTCTTGTTCTCTCTAAAATAAATAAAGAAATCTTAAAAAAAAAAAAAAAAGACTTTCTGAGGGTGGAGTGCTATCTAAGGGTGGCGAGCTAGAACTTTACTGCAGACCACCCATCAGCCTGGAATTGTGAAATCGCCTCTGGCCAAAGTACATCTGCCAGAAAAAAGCTCCATTACCACATGAGAGTAGTATGGGAATCAAGAATTGCTCTTATTTTGACAGATGATCTAATAAAAAGATATAAAAGTGATTAGAAACAATCACATTAAACCACCAAGAGAGTTCTTTTTGTTTTGTACTACGGAGTGGATTCTTGCATTGGGTGGAAGACTGGACTATATAACTTCTAAGTTTAAGAAACCGTACAAAGAAGGAACCTGATAGCAACAGTCTTCTATGGCCAGCAAACTATTTTCAAGTCACCACGACAACCATGATAACAATCACAAAAAGCCCCGGGAAGTCACGTAGACTCAAAAAGATGAGCCAACTTTTCATTCCTAATCCTGCCACAGGTAGTGCAACTCCTGCCATGTTTTTGTGAATGGGAGGACTGGCTTCCAGATGGTTCTCTCCAAGATAACAATGTTGCGGGTCTATAAATGGACATGGTAATTCCAGCCTAGTCATTTGCTTAGCATCACTGGGGGTAATTAGAGTGGCTCAGGTTAAGACGACTGGCCACAATTTCCTTCAGTTCACTAAAGGTAAATGCAGGCTTTGAGAGAAGCAACAACGGAGGCTTTGCACACCTGGGGGGTCGGGGGCAAAGGGGGTGGTGGGGCACTCAGAGCTCTTCAAAAGAGCTGGTACCCACAATGAAGCTGTACCTCCTCCAAAATGACCTGCTAAATTTAGCATGGATTCTTCAGGAAGGCTTTTGAGTCCTTTTTGCACGAAAAACAAAGCACTTTGGCAAGGTTTGCCAAGTTACCTGCCAGGTGCTAAATGCTTCAACTGCCTTTTCAATGAGTTAATTCTATACCACCAGGCAGAGCCTCTTAGCAAGAGTTGCCATGCAGATGACACCCATGCAAAGGAGGGGTGTAAGCCAGCGACGTGCATGTTTTAAGAAAACATGGTGGGGGTGCCTGGGTGGCTCAGTTGGTTGAGTGTCCAACTCTTGGTTTTGGCTCAGGTCATGATCTCAGGGTTGTGAGATCAAGCCCTATGTTGGAGAGAACCATCTGGAAACCAGTCAGTCCTCCCATTCACAGCCTAGAGCCCACTTAAGATTCTCTCTCTTCCTCTCCCTCTGCCCCTCCCCACCATGTGTGCGTGCATTCTCTCCCTCTCTGTGTCTCAAAAAAACAAACAAAGGGGTGCCTGGATGGCTCAGTTGTTAGGCGTCTGCCTTCAGCTCGGGTCATGGTCCCGGGGTCCTGGGATCGAGCCCCGCATTGGACTCCCTGCTCAGCGGGAAGCTTGCTTCTCCCTCTCCCACTCCCCCTGCTTGTCTTCCCCCTCTTGCTGTGTCTCTCTCTGTCAAATAAATAAATAAAACTTTAAAAACAAACAAACAAACAAACAAAAAACAAATCATGGTGACTGCTGTATGGCTAAAAAGTTTCCCCAGATGGGTCATCCATTGTAAGAGAAAGCACACAAGGAAACAACCACAGTGTCAGTCCCAAATTCCAAGAACAGCCCTCCCTTCCTCGTTTCAGCAATTTCTCTTCCACCACTCTTTTGTCTTTCTCAGGGCTAATCAAGCCCCAGAAGTGTTCACTGGGAATACTAAGGATGAATTTGGGGAACACCAGTGTGTCTCCTCTTCACACTTGGAAGGTCTGATGCTCTTCCAGCTGGGATGGTTGTCTTTCCTCGGGCTTGCTTGCTTCCACTCTTTGGGAACATCCTTATCAAATGAGCTCCCCCACTGCTTCCACATCTTCTCTCAGGTTCTATACCCTCCTCAGCCTTGACTGTCACAGCAGAACACTCAATATTCTTTACTTCTTTTTCCCCCCATAAAGTAAATTGATAAATGAAGCTTTCCCTCAGGAAAGAGAGAAAATTGTCCAAGCTGGCCAAGCTGGAAGAAAACCATATTCACAGGACAGGCTTGGCTTTGTAAAAGAAGTCCCAGGCTCTGCCTCTGGCTTAATCCAGGTACCATCCCCTGCCCTGGGGGTTTCATTCTGGCTTTGGTTTACATTCATGTTCCTTTTCAGAGATTTAGCAGAAATTCTTGTTCCACGACTCTCTTCAGGCATTTTGCCCCCTGCAGAGGATATCTCACCAGAAAATGGTATATTTACCCCACCGCAAATTGTACACTTAACACATCAAAATCATGGGCTTTCCAAGATGACCCGAGCAATGCTTGAAAGCATCTTCCAACACCTCTCCGACCGTCGTCCCCCTCCCCACTGCACCAAGTTCACACCACTATAACCGGAGGCACCGACATTACCATAAGGAAGCTTCACCAGCGAAAGTTCACCTGCGCTACCCTTAAGATTGGTCTAAAACTGGGGCGCCTGGGTGGCTCAGTCAGTTAAGCATCTGCCTTTGGCTCACGTCATGATCTCAGGGTCCTGGGACCGAGCCCTATGTCGGGCTTCCTGCTCAGCAGGGGAGTTTGCTTCTCCCTCTCTCTCTGTCCCTGCTCCTGTGTGCTGTCTCTCTCTCTCTCAAATAAATAAATAACATTTTTTAAAAAATTTTTCTGAAACAAACTATGCTTTTTTGGGACTTGGGGGACCCACTTCGCTTTGCACAAACGCCAGTGGACAAATGTGCAGAACAGGAAGAGGGTCAAGGAGGCCTGTGCCCTAACGGAACAGGCCCCCTCGTAAGGGGTGAGTCTCCCTCTCCTGGGATGCTGGGTGGAGCCCAAGTCCACCTGCAAAAGCTGTTTTAATGGAGCCCTCTACCGGGGGGAGTGGGTCTCAGTGGCCCGAGTCCCGTACTGGTCTGCCTCTCAGACTTCTGTCACTCAGCAGAGAACAAGGAGGAGGAGCTTACCCTGTCCCTGCCCCTGCCCCAGGCTCATGTGACCTGAGCCCTAAAAAAGAAGGGGCACAGGACTCGGGCCCGCCATAGCATTGATGACGCTGGTCCGCAGAGGTCAAAAATAATGTCAGCCTTCTCGACCCAGCCTCTTCTCCATTCCTTCTCATGCTTCCCTCTTGCTTCTCTAACTCTGTTATCAGCACAAGGGAAACGCAAAGTCTGAGGAGAGGATGATGTAATGACGGGGAAATGAAGGCCTCCGCTTACCTTTTCTGTCGGACATTGATCTTGATTCCGCCACCACCAGACAGAATGACTATTTTCTCTCAAAGCATCTCTACTTTACACCAAAGCAAAATCTCGCACTGCACAGACTTATTATCATTACTTTAAAAGTTATACAGAAATTGGGTGTCCATATGCTGCACACTGATGTATAATTGAAACCAGAAATTTGAAGGGTTTTTTCAGCAAATGCACGTGTTCTATCCCCTTTCATTCTTGATAGGCATAGATATAGATAGGTATTGATATACAGATAGAGATACATATTTACGTAAATATAGCTTTTAAAAGCTCCCAGGTGTCCCCTTACCTCTGATGGCTTTGTGGTACATTTTCCTTTTCCAGAACACTCCATGTCATTTGCATGGCTCTCCCCTGGCACACAGGTGCTGACCTTCACCACCAGAGTTAGGCGCAAAGCCACAATAGATTTAGTAACAGAATCATTCACAAAACCTAAAAAAAAAGGGCGGGGGGAGACAATAGGAAATATAAAGTAAAACTTTACCAACATTCTTCCTACAAGACTATGAGTTTATTTTCTGCAGCATTCAAGTCTGATGAACAAAACAAAATGTAATATTAGGCAAAGAAATAAAGCATGTGACTAGTGGCCATTCAGACCTCTGGCCTTTCAATTAGCAATAATCGCGCCTCGGATAAACCTCATTGGCTACGATACTGCCACTGCGCAAAGCTGACCTCTGGCCTTTCAAGAAAGGCCAAGCATCATGAGAAATATCGAAGGCCCAAGGAAGAGAAGACCAGGCCCTCGGCCATCGCGTTAGATGCTGCTGTTCTGTTCCGGCCCGTGTCTTCTGGCGGCATTTTGTCTCTCAATTCCATCCCCGCATTAGCGTCCTAGAATTTACTGGTTTTGAGCCCATCTTCTCCCAGGGGGCCACCTGCTCACCCCTCCTGACTCTTCCTCCCCCTGGCTGCTTTGGATAGTGACAAGCACTAAATATCTCCGGAGGCCACCCCCCATACCAGCCTGCCTGAGTGGCTCTCAGTGTCCTGACAGGTGGGTAAGCAGGGCAGGAACACATTCAGTGATGGGCTTACTGATAAATAGCATACTTCACCATCACTCTGACTGCACGGTATCAATTAAGTTACATCATTTAACCATCTAATAAAACAGGGCCAATCATAGTTGAAGATTGATTGAACTATCACCGAGGTGTCATACTTATCACCAAATGATCTTGCACCTAGGGCAGCTACTTGTACGTAGGAGGTAACAATAAATGTGGAACAAAACATAGCCTCCAACTGAAATGAAGAAATAATACCGTATCTTGCATCAATAGTATAATTATTTCACTAAGAGAGTGTCTCTTTTTTCTAACAAGAATATTCATTTATGTATGTATATTTTTTCATTTCTAAATGAACAACCTATAATTAACATATCTATTATCCAGGAGACAGACTCCTGCATTCCCCATAAAAGGTGCTTAAGACAAGGTGGGGAAAGTGATTCTAGACATCCATGCCTCTCTGAGCCCCAATTTTCTCTTGTGTTAGGGAAGGAAAGAAAATAATCGCAAAATAGGGTGACCATAGAATTTATCCCCCAAACTAGGACTCTTTTCCAATCAAAATGGGAGTGCTTTTATGATTGCAAGTGGACACAGGCATAAAGTGAGACTGTTTCAAATAATGAGACAAAATGTTCACCCTCCTCCTCCTGGCCTGAGGAGCACCCAGAGATCAGGAATCTGCAAAGTGTCAAGTATTACATTAATGCCAGGGTTGTTTTTAAAAGGCAGATGACAGATTCGAAACAGCAATATAAGATTTAATTCAATCCACAAGTTTTAAAGTTATGATGGATGTTAAAGCAAGTCACAGCGCAGAGGAGACACCCTTCAACTTCAGTTTGTAATCAGGAGACAAATGTCTCTTGGTGCCTCAGTGAAGACAGGTACTGGAGGTCTCACAAGCAGTGGTACTTTACACCCACAGAGAGCCAATTGCTTTCTTCCTAAGATTTCCTACTGAAAACTTGATCATTCATTGGCTTTGGGACAGAAGGAAAGCATGGCTCCAGCGAAGGCACTTCCTCTTTAGAGCTTTATACTTCCTCTGTCATGGCTCCGCACTCTGGAGACACCTCACCGCCACCTCCCAGCCGCCTTCACTCATGCCTGGCTCACCCCAACTCTGTAAACGGTTGCCTAGAATACCCCTCCTCTCCCAACATTATAGCTCAGACCTCACCTTACTCCTGAGCTTTTCCTCGACATTCCACCCCCACTCCAAGCTCTGCCATGTCCACCTGTGCCTGAGTACACACTCTCGTGTACAGGTCCCTGGTTATTCTCTGTCTCAGATGCTTTCTTATCTTCCCACCTTTACTGAAGCTTCCTTAATGGCAAGGGACAAGTCTTCGAGAAGCGGTTGGTAGGAAGGCAAGAGAAGGGTACATATATGGCCAAAGCAGCAAAGATAATTCCCCGGGAGGACTTTCCAAAATGTCCTATCATCCAACATGTCGACTTTAAAAAAAGAGCAATCACTCGAATGCATAAATTCCAGTTTACTAAAAAATAGTTGCTTATCAATTTATTATTAACCATGATAGAAAAATGGAGCCTGGAACAATGGTGGGATGCTACCAGATTTCTTATTCTAAAAGATATTTTTACACGTAAAATAATGGAGGTAAAATCAGATATCAGAATTTATAAAGGTGTCTTTTTGTGTCTTTGCTTTGTTCTCCAGTTTCATATTAAATTATTGTTAAAAACGATATCACCTGCCTACTTACTAAGCATTTAGATCACAAAATGCTATGTAATTCCATAGAAGAGGCCTCCCTCTGAAGGTTATTTTAAAAATTCTATTCAACTATTAAATTTACTTAGCCAGTAGTAATTCAAATGAATGGGTAGTTAAAAATATGTATGGTATAGTTTTCTAGATAATTTGCTTCCATTTCCTCAGTGAACATTTACTGATCTCACATCTATAAACCAGGCACTCACTTAGATTCCCAGATTACAAAGATGGCACACTCTTTGTTTCTACCACACCAAAGTGAGTCAAGAGCAGTGATCCTTAGCCAGTTTTGAAACCAGAAGCTTCCTAATTTCGCAGGGGCTTTTTCCAAGTACATACTGCCAGGCTCCAACACAAGTGCTTTGGAATCAATAGTTTGGGATGGGCCTTTGGCAGGCATGTTTTTAAAAGACTCCCTAAGCAATTCGAACATTGTTTCCAGTTAAGAACCACTGGCCTGGTAGAAAAACTAATCAAGGAACATAAGGAATATTGTATCACCTGGAATTAGAGGCATGCATTTGAGCCTCTGAAAGCACATTTTACACATCTATTTTTGAACGTCTAGGTGACTCTGCATTATTTAGACAATCTTTATACTCTCTAGCTCATCGTAAGTCTCTAAAGTTCTCGGAGACAACTCTGATAAAGGTTTCTATACTAGCTTTATTTGCTCCATAAGACTATGAGTATTTTGGCCCTAAAATGCTTTAGTAAACTATTAAAGAAATCTTTGCAACAGTGTGTCACATATTATTATGTAATTCCTAATTATGTCAACGAATCCCCCAAAGTAAGGCAAAAGGATATGCATGTTATTTTCAGCAATATACTGCTCACACGATGAGAACGTTGCCTGGCGGCTCCTTCCAGGTAAGAGTGTAATTTCAGTAAGTTGTTGGCACCTCCCTTTGATCATGTCTCAGGGAAAATGCTTGGAGCTGCTCATAATGAAAAGTAATACTGTCCAATTTAACTTTCATCAAACTGCAGCTGGGTTAGAGCAAAGTAGCCCTCAGGAAATCCCACATGCCAAGAGCAGGAACTGCACCCTTTACAAAGGGGCAGCAGGAAGAAGCTGAAATGAAATAGAACTCATTTTTAAAAAAAAAAAAAGAATTTCTTTGTGGCTTTATAAGTGATCATTTGAGAGTTGTTGAAAAGCCAGCGTGGTTTCTTTGACACAGCACTCAAACTGATGGACACTTCCAACACACTTACAAGAAATCCAGAGCAAATGGTCACTACTTTTTCTCTTCCTTAATAACATGAAATCAATATACATAGCATCATTTTTGATACAGACCTAGATAGAAAAGTTTGTCCTCATATTCAGAATTCTAAGATCCAGAGACCAACTAATCAACTGGAGACAAAAACTGACAAAGTAGGAATGAGGAGGACACTCCAGTTCTATTTCCAGAGCTGCCCCAGAATGGGCTTTTGTCGACACGGGCATCTTCTACGGTCCTTCCAAAAACTACAGAACTGCTCCCACACAGCAGGCCATGGCGGCACTGCAGGTAAAGCCTGGTTTAAGTTAACAGCAAGCAAGGGGAAGAGCAAGATGAGATTTATAAAGAAGGGAGAAGGAGGGGAAGGAGTCAAGGAGGGAGGAGATTTAGAAAGAAAGTAGGAAGGAGGGAAGCAGGAAGGGAGACTGAATAGGAACAACAAAGCGTGAGACAGAAAATGGGTGAGATCCCAGGAAAGGAGACACTGACACAGGAGTACAAGGAAAGCAGAAACGGAGAAAGAAGACGAAGGCTCTCCATCCCGTTTCAGGGGCTCTCCCACCTCTGGTCACATTTTCTCACCCGCTCACTCTCATGAGAAAATATACTCTTCATTCCAACCACAACAAATGTAAGACTAGAGTTCTTTGAAAATGTTCGTGAATAAACATATATTTAAATCATCATTGTGTACAGTCCAAGTCTATGATTCTGACTATGAGGCAAAAATATTGAGTCACTTTACATGGACAGATCGTGCGCTCCAGTGAGTAAGCTGGCACGGTAGCGTGGGTGAGACGGACAGCAGCATGGGGACAGAGGGAAGCTGAGCTCATTCGTTCAATATTCAGCAGTTGCTTATCCAGCTCTAAGTAAGAGGCTGCTTTTAGGGTGGGCTCCAAAGGCTGAGAAAGAGCCAGCAAAGAGAGCTGAGGAGGTCATATGTCACATGAAGGAGGAGGTCATGTGTCCCATGGATGAGGAGGATGTGTCCCCTGGGTGAGGAGGTCACCCAGTCACATGGAAGAGGAGGTCATATGTCACATGGATGAGGAGGTCATATGTCACATGGATGAGGAGGTCATATGTCACATGAAGGAGGAGGTCATGTGTCCCATGGATGAGGAGGTCAGTGTGTCCATGACCAGCACCTTGATGAGGATAGAGAGGCAGTAAGGGCAAGATCAGAGGACGTCTTGTGAACCTTAATGAAATGGGAATCCACTGAAGAGATTTAAGCAGGGGAAAAACATATGATTTATACGTTCTCAAAGATTACATTTTGGAGGGAGAACCAACAAGACTTCATATACACTGGATGTGCGACATGAGGGAAAAGAAAAAATCATACATAGTGTAAGCAACTCTGAGGTGGGGGGCTGCTGGGCAAGTGAATCAAAATTTCTGTTGTGAACAGACTAAATTTGAGATTCT